CATTGATGTACCTATATCACCAGAGTATACTGATTTTGTTTCTTTAGGATAAATACTAAGGAGGAGATAACTGAGACACATTGTGTTTCCCTTCCTAGTCTTTTGAGGAATCTCTATATTGCTTTCCAGAGTGGTTGGTTAATTTGCAGTGTATGATGTATGAGTGTACCTTTCCCTCCCAACATTATTGCCAGCATTTATTATTATTTGTATTCTCAATGGTTGCCATTCTGACTTGAGTGAGATGAAATCTCAGTGAAATTTGATATGCATGTCCCTGGCTACTAGGGATGCTGACCAATTTATTAATATATTTGTTGGCCATTTGGATTTCTGCTTTTAAGAAATATCTGTTTAATYGTTTGCTCATTTATTGATTAGGTTTTTTTTTTGGTGTGTGTGTTAAGTTTTTTGAGTTCTTTATGTATTCTGGATATTAGTCCTCTGTCAGAGAAGTATTTTGCAAAGATCTTCTCCTATGCTCTTGTTATCTTTGCTGTGCAGAAGCTTTTTAATTTCACATCATTTATTGATTCTTGATTTTATTTCTTGAGCTGTAGGGGTCTTGTTAAGGAAGTTGGTAACGGCATCAGTATGTTGGGAGTGTTGAGTTTATGTTTTCTTCTAGAAGTTGCCCATTCTTTTAATGTGTTGGTGGGTTTCCCTCCACAGTATTTCATTGAAACATTTCATAGCACTATGCCAATTAGATTGTAATGTTGTTTTTCATGTATAGTTTTTGTCACCTTTGGATTCCAACATTATACCCACTCATTTTCCATCCTGTTGCTCCTCCAGCTTAGCCTTTTGTCTTTATCTGCAGGGTTGAAAGTTCCACCACATCCTCACTCCAGCTAGCACGAAGGAACAGAGAGGCAGGGGAGGATACTGTTAAGGAGAAGTCCCAATTTCATGCTTGTGCTTACATCTCATTGTTTAGAAGTTACACATAGCTGCAAGGGAAGCTAAGATTTATTATCATTATACAGAGCAGATTTATGCCTCTAATGTTCAAGGGCACTGGTTCTTAGAGGTGTCTTTTTGTTTGTGAGCTTTTTTTTTTAATTTCTTGGCAAAGTTTTGCTATAATTTTCCCATTTTTTTCTTTTCTCCAATGCCAGGCCAATGTTTTCCTTAGTTCTTGTTGCTGTGAATAAAATTGTATCTTCAATTATGTTGAAGACTTAACACTTAGTACCTCAGAACGTGATCTTATTTGGAAACAGGGTCTGTATAAAAAAATCAAGTTAAAATGATGTCATGAGGTAGGCACTAACCCAGTATGACTAGTGCTCTTATCTAAAGGGAATTGTGGACACTGAGATACACATGCACAGAGGGAAGACAGTGAGAAGACACACAGGGAGAATGCTGTCTGAAGACAGAGGATCAGAGTTTTTCTGCCACAGGCCAAAGAACACATAGGGCCACCAGAAGCAAGGAACAGGCATGAAAGGCTTCCTGTACAGGTTTCAGAGGAAATATGGCCCTACTGACACCCTGACTTCAGATATCTTGCCTCTAAAACTGTGATATAATTCATTTCATTATGTTAAGTCATATGGCTTTTGGTATATTTTATGGCAGTGATAGGAAACAATTATACTTATCAATTACTGACTTCAATTTTCTTGGACCAGCAATTTTCAGGGGATTTGCTTTTGTGAGTTTCAGGAGGGTTTCATGGGGCCGAGATGGTGTTATAACTTCACACTGAATACTCTCTTCCTTGCTGCTCCTTTGGAAACAAATTGGGGGACTCTGTTTTGTGTTTGTGTTTGTGTGTTTTTTTTTGTGGTATTGGGATTGAACCTAGGGCCTTGTGCATACCAGACATGGTATCTACCACTGAGCTACATCTCCAGCCTTTCCATATTGATTTTTTCATGGCACTTGAATTTTCACAGCTACTTTGAAAAACCCAGTGTTGTTAGTCTTTTGTCAGTGTGAGCAAGACACCTGACAAGGACAATTTAGGGGTTCAAAGGTTTGGTCAATGGCCTGAGGTGAGGCAGAACATCATGGTGGAAGGATGTGTCCAAGGAAATTTGCTCAGCTCATGACATCCAGGAAGCAGAGAGAGAGTGCAAGGAGCCAGGAACRAAATATTTAATCCCCAAGGCCACTTTCCCAGTAATCCTCATTTTTTCCACACATTGCACTTGCCTATAGTTACCACCCAGAAATCGATTCAAATTACTGATTCCTCAAATGGATTAATCCACYGAATGGGTTATATGTCTCATAATTTAATCATTTCATCTCCTGCATTAATACAGAAGTTTGAGGAGACAACTCATATCCAAACCATATACCCAACCTCTTAAAATGGCATCAATAGGAAGGTAGTGATGGAAGGCRGAAGCTGTGAATTACCTTAGCTAGTTGATCACAGTGTCCAACAGAGACAGATGGTATTTGGAGTTAGATCTCAGTTCTGTGTGAAAACTTGGCCAAGTTATTTAATTTTGTTGAGTTTCATTTTTCTCTTCTGCAAAATAGGATTACCAAGCCCACACACAGGGAAGGCTCTATAGAGATGAAATGGTGGAATCCTAAGCATAATAAGTACTTGGAACATGGTAACTATTTTTCAAGAAATATTTTGGACCAATAATAACTGGTAGGAGTTAGCAAATCATCACAAATTTTATTTATGCTCAGACTTGGTTACTTAGTAGAATGATCATGGTTTTATTTGAAGAGAAAATTGAAATCATTAGGAATATTTCAGTGGCATCAGAAACCAAATTTTCAGGCAGAAAGCTTTTCATTTCATTTCAGCATACAGTTCAGTCTAAGTTTTATTACTCTTTAGGAAAGTAACTTGGCATTTCTTTCTCTCTTTTTTTTTTTTTTTTTTTTTTACTGGGGATTAAACCTCAGGGGTGCTTAACCACTTTAACCACTAAACCACATTCACAACCCTTTTTATTTTTTGAGACAGAGTCTCACTAAGTTGCTTAGGGTTTCGGTAAATTGTTGAGGGTGGTTTTGAACTTGTGATCCTCCTGCTTCAGCCTTCAGAGTCACTAGGATTACAGGTGTGAACCACCATACTCAGCTCTGTCTCATCTTTAAAATAGTGAAGACAGCACCATGTTGAATGTAGCAATAAGAACAAAAGTGCTTAGTGCACAGTAGTGTGAGCTTCTTTTATCCTGTTTTTCAGTTTATTTTCCCATTGAGACAGAGATTTAGCAGATCTGGTGTTCCTTGGGGGATGTGCCTACACTCTTCCTCTCAGGCTGAAAGAAGAAAACATTTTATTCTTAAACTGGACTGTAGGCTGATGAAGTCATACTGACACAGAATTTTTGGAAGATAGTTTCCCTTTGATGTCAGTTGGTATTTTCTCCTTTAGAACATAGTACAGAGACTCTGTCTAGATTGTTTGCCATGAGGTAGTTATCRGTTAAATTACCTTTTGATGAATTATGCCAAAGTTTTATTCTTTTTCCCCTTAGCTATAAGACTCTAAATAGCTTGTTATTTTAAAAATAGCTATTTATTAGCAAGTTGATTTACATTAATTCAGTTGAACTTTTTTYCCCTTAAAACAGATTTATTTGTTTTTATATGGGACATAGTTCTCTCAATCACCCAGATGGATGGCATTTTCTTTGAAAGAAGTTTCCTTAATTTATTCAGTTTGAATTTATACGTTAACCTTTTCTGTTTGACTTAAATCTTCCTCATTCTGATTGAAGTTTTTAAAGCTCACATTCCGTCTTTGGATTTGTAAAGCAGATCCTAAGTTTTCTTGCTATAATATTAGCAATGATGGTGATGGAGAATTCCAACTTTGGTGAAATGCTTTAATAGAATGATACTTTAGTCAAATCTGCCTCTGTCCCTTCTTCATACTGTAGTCATCTCAGAAGGGGATCTTACTACAGAGGGAGATGTGGATACCCTGAATTGTGACTCTTGCTTCATGGAGAATGAATGGGAAAAAGCCAAGGAGTGAGTGATTGGCAAGTGAAGGAAGTGACAGTTGTAGGAATTCTCTTAAATTCAGACTTGAAGTCTAAAACTTAGCAATTTTTTAGTAATTTGTTTTTTGCATTTTGTAAATAAATGGAGAAATACCTTTCTTTGTGAAATTCTGTCCATGTGCTGCCTAGGGGCAAAAAGTGCTAGATTGATGTTTATTTACAGTGAATGCTCTACATAATTCTCTAGCATTTTCCCTTTTCATTGTTTGATATTTTTATTTATTTATAAATTATCCACAGACAAATAATGATTATATTAAAAATCTGCAGGGAGAAAAAATGAAAAGACTCAAATCTTAATAGTAACTGAATTTAGAGGAGTACTATGCAATTTTACTTTCTAAATTTTATTTCTATATTTAGCTTTGCTTTAAGAAGTATATTTCAACAGGTATTTAAAATTAAAAAAATGAGTTTTCATCTTAYCTAAATAAAGAAATCAAATGGATGTCTGAAGTACCCTGGTCAATCTGTTCCTTCAAGCTATTTTTACCTAGTCAAGCATGACGCTGATCATTTTAAATATGATAATATGTAATGCTTGTGGGCATAAAATAAATACAAGTATTAAGATATAGAATATAATTTGCTTGCCACTATCTATTCTTTCTTGTGATCTATAGCACAGAAGAGAGCAATTTAAATACAAAGTGTTTAAAATGTGTTAATATTTGAAAGTTAGTGAGTTAATTTTTTTTCTCTGCCTTCTGTCAGATGATTGCACAGTGCTTAAATATAATGAAAAAGAAGAGGCAACATAATATAACCCCTCAATATTATCCCACACTCAGATTGTAATTTGATATTTGTATTTTATGCTGCTTTAAAAAATTAGTCACTACTAATGTTTTACTTGTGTTGGCATAAATAAGCTTTAAATATATAACTTAATCTCTGAGATGTTATTTGATTGAGAGGCTGCAGTCAATGAGACATAGGTTTTTTCACTGCAAAATCAGAAGTGGTAGCAACTGCCAATATTTAATGGAATTAAGCATGGAATTGAAAAAAATTGAACAAAGAGATTAAAGTTCATTAAGGATCTTTAAGCAGTTACATATACACAGAGCAATTGCTATGTACTCTTAAATGATAGTCCCTGGAAAGTTTGGTTTTACTTTAGTAATTAAGCCTTTTTGCCTTGACTCAGCAAAGCTACATACAAATAAGGTATGTAGAAGACTTTGGGTTTTAAATGTTAAAAAAACACATTAGAGCAGATAGCTAAAATTATCTTTTATATAGGAACAAAAATCAGTTTAATAAGTCCACATTAATTTCTTATTTGATTGTTAAATATTAAAAGAATTTTTCAGTTATGGTCTATTTTATCAAGAAAATACTTTTTTCTAAAGAGATTGTTTAGTCAGAAATCTTCTATAAGACATTGCAAAATTGTGTGCATGTGCAAGTTAAAAACACAACATATAACAGGCTAAAATTGAACAAATTTGATTGCAGAACTGAAGCTAGTTTTCTTAGTTTTGTCACCATAAACACATCTTATGCTCAGGATTTTTTGAACAGTCCATGAAAGGTAACAGGGATGTTAATCTCCACTTCAGCCCTGGCAACTTCACTCAAATCCTTGGCATTCAGAATCAGGAGGTATGCAGGCTTTTGTCCTGCCCCGGGGCTCACCACCACACTCAGAACTACACCTGTTAATCAGAAGTGCATAAGGCAGTTTTAAATTTAAAAGAACCTAGGACCATGGATTACATGTAATTGAAATAAAATCAGAGGTATTATACTGACAAAGAAAATCAGACTTCTTGTTTTCTTTTACCACTTGCTTCTCTGACCACCTGAAGGGGTCTTTAAAACTTTTCCTTCTTGAATTATAAGCTCCAAGAAGGGAGTGATCATGTCTGTCTTGCTCACAGCTATTTCCCAATATCCTACTACAATGACTAGATCATAGTAAGTGCTCATTAAGTACTTATTAAATGAGTGGATCTTTGTTCTTATCTATAACATAAGAATATAACATTTGTTCTAACTACTGAGAAAAATTGTAATGATCAAGTGAGAAACATGTTAAAAGACTAAAAGCAATAAGGTATATTATAGCCATAATTCCCAACATCTATGTGGATGCTGACTTCCTTCCAACAAAATGAGAATAAGCCTTTTTGTACTTTTGTCTGAATGGGATATATATATAATTATTTAGCATGAAATGGCTCAACAATCATTTATGTAATTTCTCTGTGATTTCCCATATCTCTCTGTCCCTGCTAATTAATGGCTAACTAAGACTAATACTTGGTAATGGAGTTGCTCTTTTATAGGCCACCGGTGGCTAGATCTTTTCTAGCCCATGTTTACTAAAAGAAAAATCAAAACTAGAGTCATAGAGCTGTACTCTCATTCTCTTTATCTGCTGGAAAATTCTGCTTCCCTTCCTAGAACACAATTTCTTTTCAGAAATGTATCTTGGTGAGGAGGGGGTGAATACCCGGATGGAATTCCTGCTGCCTGGCTCCTTTCTTCCCCTTTCCTGCATCTAGAGCAGACACTGATGCCCCAACAAGATAYCAGATAGTGCTTCAGCATTTTTCCATTAGTAATCAACAAGATTTGATCATGAGATGAAATTCATGTGTGAATATGATTGTCCCTTCCTAGTATTAGGATCATTTTTGAACATTAGAGAATAATCAACCTAACTCTTCTCATAAGGACCTAACTCCCAGAACTCTGATCAGAAGAGGGTTCAGATATATTCATTTCTTTCATTACCATCATCTTCTTCCAAGGCTTCCGGGTGAGAAACAAAGATGGGTTCTGATGGATATGAATCCGGCTCTTGCCATACCCAAATTTCTTTAGTTTTGACATTCAGCTTACAGAGCTGCTTGTAAGAAAGAAAAATCAACCGATCAATCCGTCAATATGCTTTATTTGCTTAGCATATGACTCAACTCACTGTTCCAATATTAGAAAGATGCATTAATTACCCTGTCTGGAACAAAGTGATTCAAGCCAAGTCCATAGGCGTACGTATAAGGTTTCCCACCATACTTCTGGTAATTGATCTGAGGAAACTCAAATGCTACAAAATAGAGCACACACTTAGGAACACTGAGTTCATCTCTCTGAGCAGAACATTTGCTCTTTTCTGAGTGAGGGGTTCTCTAGATCAACTTACCTTGACGAGGCCCTGAGAAGAGAACCTCAGGTTCTAGCCAGATGGTCTCATCGCTGCACAGAATCGCTGTGGCTGTTGTGTTGGGGAGTGTGATCAAATTCTTGCCTGTGTCAGCCTGAGAAAGAAGATAACAGAAACCTCAGTGAGCAGGAAGCAACTCTGGAACAGCCGTATGTGCAGACTTCCGTTTTATCTCCTGTTTTTTCCTCAGGTCAATGTTCAGGAAAGAGCAATGTAGAAAACTAGATGAGGAAGCCTGGGCTGTGTGGGCAAGCAGTCTGTGCCTGTGCCAGGCACCAGCTGGGGGCTGCTGGAGAAGTCACAGAACCTCATAGGCCCTCAATATTTTGTAGAATTATTCTCATTTTATACAATGAGCCTGTCTTCAAAGAAAATTTAGGACTCCAAGGAAGGACCTCTGCAAAAAAAAAAAAAAAAACATGGATAAATAAGTAAATTATACTTTCTGCAGACCAGCAAAGATGTCGACTGCCTGTGGGATGAAAGAGTATTTATCTATTTTATAGTTAGGATACCTTTTGGTTTTTTGAAAAACTCCATGCAGTTATGTTGCCATAAGGGGGTGGGGGGCAGAAAGAAGAAAGAAAGAGCTCTTTAAGAGCTCTTAGATCATGTAAATATGTGTGAGTACCCCCCCAACATATACATGCAAACATTTCAGATTATTTCATGAAAACAATGAATACCATGAGCTTTTTCTAAGAATATATTAATTTATTAATATTTTCATCAAATATGTAATTATATGTTTACTTGTGTATATGCTTTTAGTACTTGATTATAAACTCTATTCTAGGCATTTGGGATATTTCAGAAGGTAAAGTCCCTGTCCTCATGAAAYTCCTATTTAAGGAAGATTAACAATAAATTAATAAATGTACTTAATAAGTAAAGTGCATAATATATCATGACTGTGGGGTGAAAAGAGTGGAAGAAGCAGAGTCAGAAGTATAAAGGTTCCATGAGGCCGAAATTTTAACAGGTGGTCAGGGTAGGCCTCTTTGCTGAAGTGGCATTTGACACAAAACTCTTAGAAGATGAGGAAATTAGCAGTGCATTCAAGCAGAGAAAACAAATGGTGCAAGGTCTGAGAAGTGCCTGAATGTACTTGAGTAGCATCGAAGAGGCCAGTGTGCAGCAACTGACTGAGCAAGGGGGAGAGAAAAAAGAAGAGTGTGCAGATGAGTGATGGGACCACACTGTGTAGAGGCATACAGGTTGGTATGAGGACTTGGCCTTTCTCTATAAATGAGTAATGGGAAGCCATTGGAGGTTTCTGAGCAGAGGAGTAACATGCTGTGATTTATTTTTAAAAGAATCACTTYGGCTGTTCTGTTGAATCTTACCTTGGGATTAATGGAGATGCAAGAGAGGTATCAGGGAAACCTGTTTGTCTTGAGAGTAATCTAGTCCAAAGAAAGCCATGGTTCTAGCTAGGCTGGTAGCCCTGGAGTCCGTGAGACATGGGAGATGGAGTCAAGGGGATTTCCTCATGGAGARAATATCAAAGGAAGAGGGCTGTCAAGCCTAACACCATGGCATCTGGCCTGAACAATTAAAGGCTGGTGTTGTCACAAAAGGTCATGACTATTGTAGGTGGGAGAAGATGAGAAGTTCAAGTCTTGTCTTAATAATCCTGAGATGCCTAATGGATATCCAATCTGGAGATGGAGATATGGAGTTGGAAATAGGTTATAAAAACCTTAAGTATAAGAAAAGATAGGAAATATAAAAGTAGGCTACTTTAAAGCATTAGTCTTTGAAAGGAACTGAATACACAGATAGATGGTGGGGGGGTCGAGGATTGAATCCTGGTGCCCCCAACAAGAGGAGGAACATGTGGGTAGCTGGTTGGGGTAAAAGTAGTCAAGAGAAGGATTTTTTAAGAGCTTGATGTGTGATCAATTGAAATCATAGGGAAGAGATGATCTAGGAGAGAGGGGAGCATGTCCCTCAGTGGGTGAGGAGATATGGGGAGATTAGCTCTGGTTAGGAAGATGGATAATTCAGTATATGAGTGCAGATGCTGGTGGGTAGATATGGTAGCAAGAGTCTATGGTTCTTTTCTGATTTCTTTGTTCAGAGGAATAGGAAGCACAATCRTCATCCACAGTTGAGTGTGGAGGTGGGAGGTGGGAGGTGATAAAAGTTTGAACAGAGGAGGATGTAGAATATTTAACTAGCAAAATAAGACAGTAAGTGAACTTGGGAAATGTGGCAGTCAGGTTTGTGGTAATACATTTAAAATTGGAACACTCAATGTGATTGTGTGTTGGCAGCATTTAAGTTTGGATTATGATGTACAAACATGGAGTGGGTGGATATTCCAGCTTAATTAGGGTTGTGATTTGGGTAGATAAGTTTGATAAACAGGAAAGAAGCAAAAGAAATGAGATTCTATGTAAGGGCTTGGTCATAATTATTGACTGTGGAATTCAACTTGAGTGAGGAGGAAGGCAAATCCTTTAGGGGAGTGAGTGATAATGAGAAAGTACTGTGTTCACTGGATTGGAAGCTCATGGCAGAAGTTGCAGTAGGGCAAGTGAATTAATAGACAAAAGGTATGAGTATGTCTTGCATGAAACAGATCATAGRTGGAACACAATCATAGTCAATGGCAAGGTCAAGAGCACGACTTTGGGGAGTGAATGGTGAGATAAAGATAACATCAGTGGAGAGGTCAAGCAACTAAGAGGTCAGGTTGTCAGAAGAATCAACTGCAGTGTGCAGACTGAAATCACCAAGAATTAAGGGACAGGCATAGAATTGGGAAGACAGTGACACTGAGCCAGGAAGGAGAGGAAGTGGCAGCTAGTCAAAGACAACAATAATGAGGATTGTATGTATGGGTTTATGTATGTGTCACTTGGCTACCAGAATAGCTGAAATGATGGGGATTTTGAGAGTGGATGGAGGAAACAATGGTATGGAAACAGCCAACAGGAACAAGAACACCTAATTCAACTTCAGGCCAGTGGAACAGGTGCTGTCCTAATCTGCTCTGCTCTCTTTATGCAGAGGAGAAAGTGCCACCCCTAAAAGTTGCTCTTGGGAGACCAGTGCCCTAGAGAACAAGCCAGATTTTAGTTAAACAGTGTGGAGGGAACATTCTGAGGAAAGGATAAAGGGAATTTCTAGAAATGGATTATGGATTAAGAGTAAATAGTGGAAGATTTTCAGGAGAAGAAAGTGATGATCAAATAGGGAAGTAGATGTTGTGAAATGGGATCTCAAAGCACTTAGTGGTGATGTTGGGGAGAAGAGTGTTTATAGCTGATATACTTATATACCTGTGTATGGTAAGCACAAAGGTCTGTCAAACCTATTATTTACATGGTTTTAAGCTGACTTATTTTAGTGTTGTATCTTTTTAATCTATTACTAAATTTGCTTTTTATTATAAGAAATCTGTAATATCAACTTTGTCTTCCTCAACAAACCAGATCTTCCCTTCAATGATTTCATTTATCCTCATAGATACCTTTACCCTTTGACTCAGAAGTCTTACTACAGAGACTCTATCCTACAGCTTTTCAAAAATAATAAAGATGTATTTTAAAGATATCACCATTATCTTAATTATTAGATAAAAACTTCACTCATTTTATATTCTCAGTCTCTCTTCMTTTCCTTGATCTGTTGTTACCTCTCCTTTTAATTAATGGCCTTTTTATATTTCCTTTCATTATCAAACTTTGGGTAGTCTAAGTACTGCTCCCACATCCTAGCCACCTGCTGCCCCTGAAACTTGATGCCTACCTCTCTTGCTCTATTCCCTTGCAAATCACCAAATCAAGCATTTATTGTTTTCATTCTTTTCCACCTGTATGTAGCTTATGGCTCTCTTCAACCCCTCTCCTGCCCTCTCCTATTTGGCATTTCCCTTTCTTAGTGGTAATTAGGGCTCTCTTGTGGCTCTTTTTTTGGCACCCTTTTTTCTACTACTTTCTGCATATGGTTATTTCTTAAGCTACTGTATTTGGCTATCTTTTCTTCTCAGTGTTTGCTAGCTACCAAATTCCCCATTTTAAAAGTAAACAATCTTTTTATGTTTCTTTTAGAAAACCTATTCTAAAGTCTCATCTATTGTTATATATTTGATCTTCATTTCAATACCAGTAACTATCAGCTTTTCTTCTATTCAAAAACCTTCACTGTCTTCCCATTACCTGTCCAGTAAAATGAAAACTAATGATGACCCATGATGGTCAACCAGTGATGACCAACTCTCCTTTTTCCTCATTTTTGAATGTGGCTACTTAAATGATCCTCTTTTATTTTCTTAAAGATGATTGTGATTTTTACTATTAGTAGTAAAATAAGTTTCCCCAAATCAACTGGCCCATTCTTTCGATAAATGTTTATGAGCATTCAGCTACGTGCAGGAATTGTGGTTCCTCAGGGAAAGGCAAAAGCGCTTGGGTGCCCTGTTGATTGACTGGTGGCCCACCAGGATCCATGTTCTGAACCTCTGGGTCTCTGTATGTCAGTTGCCTATTGAACATTTCTGCTGAGATGACCATAAGGTGTTTCTAACTAGGAATTATAAAATAAATCTTACTCTATTTCTTGCAAACCAGCTCCTGCTACTTCTATGTTTCTAATTCAGTGAATTGTATCATCATTCATCCAATTGCTCTGGGAAGAAATCTGAAAGTTATTCCAAATTCCTTCACATATAACTTGATATTGACTCTTGCGGATTCCACTTCCTACATATTTCTCAACTTTATACTTTCCTTTGTCTCTCAGTTGCCATTTCTTTTATTCAGGTATTCATTGTATTTTATGTGCTCCATTGTATTTATGCTAGTCTCTCCACTGTCCCATCTGTGCTCCATGATGTGCCAGGTGGACCTTTAGGAAACATATACCCTGTCATGTCATATGCATCCCTAACATTTAAAATACAACAATGGGGCCAGGCATGGTGGTGCACACCTGTAACCCCAGCAGCTCAGGAGTCTGAGGCAGGAAGGTCATAAGTTCAAAGCCAGCCTCGGCAACTTAGTGAGGCTCTAAGCAATTTTGCAGGACCCGGTCTCAAAATAAAGAAATACAAAAAGGGCTGCTGATGTGACTCAATGGTTAAGCAGTCCTGGGTTCAATCTCTGGTAGCAAACAAAACAAAACAAAACGAAACAAAATTTCAACTGCCCCTTTTCATTTAAAAATCATCCAAAGGCTTATAAAGCCCCTTATACTATCACGCCAGCCCATCTTTCTGATCTCTGTGGCTGATACCCTCTCCCTTAGGCTCCTAATGAACTAGCTCCAGAGACCATGTAACATTTTCATATTAGGTCTTGCTTTTTAAACTCCTCCTTGACTGTAGAAATTCTTGCCTACATTAGTGTCTAACCTTAACCTCTTGCACGTTCTTATTCCTTAAAGAGTTTTTAAGCCTGCTTAAGAGCAGTAGCATCTGGTTCTAAATTGGGTTTCTTTTCCACTACATCTGATATAAGCCTTTGGTTCAAAGATTTACCTTTCACACAGCTGCCTCAACTCTTTTTGTGCAACTAGAGAGCACATAGACATAAAGGAGAGTGTATGTTCATGTATTTATATGTGAAAGTTATATTTTTTATGAATTTAGCTTTTTTCACATTAAAAATTTTGATTATAACTCAGATTATTCTGAAAAGATAGGTAGTGAATACAGAGAAGAAAAAGCGATGACTGTGTTGGGGCTCAGAAAACAACATACCAAAATATGCCACTGACTTCTGGGAAGCTGCAAATGCAGGGCAGGGCTTTCTCCAAAGTTCTCTTCTCTACCTAAAGACCCAATCTAGCAAAGAGGAAAGCAATTGCCTTAAATCTTCCTGCTGAAATTCTATTTCACTGGGAAGATTAAACTAGTATCACAGAGAAACTGAAAATCAAATACCAGACCTGGAATCTAGAAGAACTTTGTTTCTGGCCATTGTCTATCCTAGAGTCTCAATCATTTCCCCTAAAAATCGTTTTTCTTCTCTACACATGCCTGTAGCCCCCAACTTCCTCTCTGCTATGAAGAGGGTATTTGAATCTCAACCACCAGGCCCTGCTTTGAATTTCATATTTTATAGAGCATGTACATATTAATAAATTTGCATGCCTGTTCTCTTGCTAATCTATTGTCAGTTTGTTTCAGTTACCAAACCTTCAGAGGGGAAGTTTGAACTTCCCTACAGCAGTCTAATGCTATTAATGATTTTTGTCCTCTAGTGATATTTTCACATTAATAGAAAATCAAAATAATTCACTGATTACCCTACAAAGTTATTTTTTTGATACTTCATTGCTCCAAAATTTCAAATATTTCAAGAATGCTRTTGATAAAGGATCCTAGAAACCAGCGGGTCTCCACTATTCACTGAGAAAGTATATTTTTAAAAGGATTTTGTAACTGAAATAGCAGCAGATTTAGAATCACGGAACCTGGTTTTTGTCCTGGCTTTGCTGCAGTTGGCTTGTGCTAAGTTAGATCACTCTTCTGAGCTTCAGTTTTCTTGTTTCAAAAACGAGGGGAGTTTAGTCAGTTTATGTTTAAAGTTCCTTCCAGATCTGAAATTTTAATACCATATATATATATAAACATGAAGCCAGACAACATTTGTTAGAGAGATGAAGCATCCTGGTTATATCTGAAATCCGTGGGGAAAAAGGTTACCTTGTCGATATTCAAAGGTAGTACATATCTTCTAACTTCCGGTTGAGGAGCCTTTCTGGCATTTTTTTTTACCTCTTCCCAGTTCTCACGTAAATTAGCTAAATATAAGTAATTATAGACGAATTCAAATCTGCAAAATAGGAAGTCAATCATGAACACAGTTATAAATAATTTTAGAGAGAYGATTCCTGACTCTTAAAAGCACACGTTCTTCACCAACTGCTAATGACACAGGTGTATTAGAGGACTTTCCTCTAGCCCATGCTGGGTGAAAACAGAGAAACCTGCCTTGTGGTTATGTTTTAAAAGCAGCAGCTTCAGATACTTTTTGCTTTTCTGCTTTTCTGTCAACACTATATTTGTGTCTTTAGGAGCTATTATGTTTTTAGTGACTTGGCTAATTTGAAAAAAAAAAAAAAGTGTCTCTCTCTCCCAATCTCAGAGTGAGTAGGGTTCAAGGCTCCTTAGAGTTCTTGCTGGGTTTAAGAAAGTTTAAGTTCATGTCTCAGGTCACAGAACCTTTTATTTTTAGGTCTGATACATGGACCTAGTTTGTCTTCAGTCACTGATCCCCGGTATGTATTTATAATTACTTAAACTCCATACTGCTTTTTCAATTACACCTCGTGACTTCTGCATATCTCTTGCTTTGTGAGATGTGATTTGGGTTGAACATTGAAATTAACATCTCTCCAAGAGCCCCTTATGGTCCAGAAGCTGCTGGAGATGGATCATTTACCCAATATCCTCTCTTACCCTTTCCAGCAACAGAGGTCCACAATCAGAAACCCATTGTCTTCATAGGTGTTGATGTGATGGAAGAGGTTGAAGGAAGAGGTTCTGTATTTATTATTAAGGTACTTTCTTCTTTTTTTGTCAGCAATATGAAGCCAAACCTTGAGAAGTAAGGAAACTATTTTGATGCATTTAGAAAGGCGAGAAGTGTACATTATGAAATACCTTTTTCAGCATCAGCAAAGTGACAAATAGATCAGACTTACCCCCATGGTTTCATTGGACTCAAAACAGTCCATGTAGTTGGCTCCCCAAAGACTCCATGAAGAAAGGAACTTGAACAAGTTTATTTTGACTGGTGTCTCCACAAAAACGATGTAATTGGGGGTCAGACCAAAACTGAAAAGGAAATGGGCTTGTGAATTGAAGGGCTGAGTCTCAATGCACAAAGAAACATCTATACACAAGGTATGTTTAGCTACATGAATCAACAGTGCCTACATGAAATTAATTATGTTTAAATTTAAATCTCTGCAAGAAAACATCGTGATCAGAATTGGTATCAAAAGGTAGGCAAAGCAGATCTTTAAACTTGAGTTTTCCTGAAGATTCATGGCAGGCCTTCAAGTTACCTATGGACGTAAGATGGCTTGAATCGGTCACTGCAGGGGAATTGTACAACGATCTCTGACTTGCTTATTGGATCTTCCTTGTCTGAAATAAAGTGGTTTTAAAAGGCTTTGGAAGAGCCTCTTATTTTTTTWAAAAAAATACAAAGCATTTAGAACAGCTTATACAAGCAAAGAAATACATTTTCAGATATTGAATTCAGAGGTTTTTCTCAGTCATTGTCATCTCTTAGGAAATTTCACATGAAGCTGCAATCACCCAGGAAAATCCAAATAGCAGCAGATTTGGAAAAGTGCACTCCAGTATGTCTGTGGAAGAGTGTTATGGAGTCACATTCCATGACAAATGGAGATGGGTTTTAAGTCAGAGGCAAAATTTTGGTATGGTCAAAACGCCTTTTATAGCATCTTAAGATGCCTAAATTACAACGTAGATGGGTTTATATCCACAACCCTATATGATAATTCTTATGCACATTAAAGTTCATTTATTACCAAGTTATTGGTCTTCAAACCTTAGCGTGCATCAGAAATACACATAAATGATTTCCTGAAATTCTGACTGTAGGTCCTTCTCCAAAGATGTCTCATCCAGTCTGCTTGAAGTGGGGCTTAAGATTTCTATTTCTAACAAATTTCCAGTTGATGCTGCTGGTCTGTAGCCTCCTCTTTAAGAACCATACTAAGACATACCAAACAAAACTTTACATGAATCCAAGTCTATCATTGAGAGGATTGTCAATGGACCTGATAATGAATGGAAGTTGAATGGAGAATTTTTGATTGTCCTACTTTAAATCTTTTTCTAGACTTGTTTTTAGTTTGGGGAATTAAACACAAAATAGTCCACTTTCATATATATATATATATATTACACATATATGTTTATTTAATTTTAAATTTGCTTGGCCCATGAATAATTGCTCAATACATGTTTGCTGAATTTGAATCTAAATTGTACATGATAAATCCACATATACACTAGTTGATGAAACACCATGGAAGAGAACTTGACCTCTTGTTTTCTGTGGTTTCAAGTTGTCACCTCTTGCTGTAGTACCTTTGAGCATTAGTATCCTGATAGCATATCCTGTAGTACCTTTGAGCACTAGTATCCTGATATATAGGGATGAGAGCATTTTTTTAGTTTGAGAGAAATTTAACATACCATATTTTCAGTAGTTTTTTCCACAATGTAGATACATATTTTCAGAAAAAGAAAAACTGATAAACTCACCTGCTTGCAGTGGAGGAATCTTTACAATATTGTAGGCAATTGAAAAGTTTTTCCCAAAGCAATTACCAATGTTGTAAACGGTTCCATCACTTTCAATGTGGGGGTGAGCAGTGGCTCCGTTGACTGAGACATAGTTGCAAAGGTCAACCTATGGGAAGGAGAAAAAAACACCATCCATGTTAAGAGAAAGAGGATCACACCTTTGTCCCTAGGTCTCATCCCATCATTAACCCCTTGCAYCCTTGCTATAAGTGCACTTTGTCTTTCTTTTCATTTCTCTGGATCCAACCCTCTTTCAGCTTTGCCTGAAGTCCCACCATTAGTGCAAAACTCTCCTCTGACCCCCACATGGACTCTGAAATCTGAAGTTCTATGACTGTGTTCATTCCTTGAAGTATACCATATAGTGCTCTGGTGAGTTTCTTTTTGCAACTACACCTTGATCTTTAACAATGATAAACTTGAGACCTGTGACTTCTTTATATGTCTTTAATTGTACTATATTGAATTGTGTAAAATTCTTGCTATTTGATAATTTTTCATAATAAAAATTACAATTTGGCATGGGACAACCTAAATACCAAGCCCAGTGTGTTCAACATATGTATTTGGAACTGAAAGGAACTTTGGGATTTATCTAGTATGCCAGGCACTGTGCCAGGATCTAGGAAAACAGAAGATCCTTACTTTTAAGAACTTTGGTCTAGACCTATCCTGTCAATGTGATAGCCAGTAGTTATGTGTAGAAATTTAAATGTAAATTATAATTAGATAAAATTTCAAATTTAGCTCCTCAGTCACATTAGCCACACTTACAGTGTTCATTAGCATTGTAAAATGTGATCAGAGAACATTTCCATCATTATAGAAAGTTCTATTGGACAGCACTGCATTAGACCAATAAGCTTTCATAAAGGACAGTGAGTGCAACACAGTACCTGCAGAGAAATGCTATCTAACCCAGACTGGGGGATTAGGCAGTTTCCCAAGCTTCCTATTAGCCCCCAGTTAATTCTTGATGGTGAGTAGAAGTTAACCAGGCAAAGTAAGGTGTGTGTGTTAGGAAGCAAGAATCCTAATGTGAAGACACAGAATTATGAAATGCATATGCTCTCTGGGCATTACCAGGTTATGCAGCATGGCTGGTGTGAAGGTGTGAACGGAAGAGGAGAGGTGAGAGTGGCCAGCACCTCCCCATTTGGACTTTTCCTCTGAAACCATGGGGGACCTAGATTGAGTAACACATGAATGTTTGCATTTCAGAGCAAAGGCTTCTGCTGCAGTAAGGAAATTATACTTAAGGGCATCAGCTGGAGGCAAAAGTACTGACTAGTTGGGAGGTTATGTCAGTTATAATAAATAAAAATTTTCAAATTATATTTTTATGTGAAGCCAGGGTACAGTGGTATGCACAATGGGACCTATAACAAAGTTTTCTGGAGACATATCACAGCTTCTACATTTCTAATTAAAGTACTATGTAATGGGAATATGGATTCATTTCAGAGCAAATTAATCTTTTAGAAATTCAACTTCACTTCTTCTCTAAATGATCCACACAAACTTGAACATGGTTATACACGTATCAACAGGAAAGAGCTCTTTATACTCCCAATAGCTTTGGGAGTATATGTCAAGATGCAGTAAGTATGTCTGTCAAGAATTATAGATCAGTATGTGATATTGAGACTCARTGTTGGGGATATTTTTTCCTTTCTGTTACCACCGCATTTGTAGCTCTGATATTTTCAATTATTAAATTTACTTTTAGCAGATATATAAAAGCATAAAATTGTACATATTAGTGGGGTGCCATGTGATATTACAATATGTGTATATAATGCCTAATGTTTAAATCAGTTTMAACATATCTATCTCCTGTAACATCTATCATTTCTTTATGTGAAGGTATTCTAAATCCTTTCTCCTAGCTTTCTGAAATACAGAGAACTTTATTGTAATCTGTAGTCTTTACTGATCTCCTAGCTGGTATACGTATTTCTTTTACTCTCCCATTCAGCCCATATGTAGCTTCTCAATTAAACGTCCTAAAGTACAGCTCTATTTATGCCACTTCTTTGAGTTAAGACTTTCAGTAGTTTTTCATTAGCTAAGCAACTGATTCCAAATTTTTAGTTTGTTATTCAAGCTTTTAGTTTCACCCTATCCTGTTCTCCTTGACATTACATATTCTAGATGAGTAGCTCTGGTATGGGAGTGTTGTTGCCCCCTACTGGGAGATCTAGAAATGTCACAGGCATTTTGGGTTTGAGCAGTGATTGAGGACACGACTGGCATTTAGTGGATAGGTCGGGGACACCAAACCCCTATGATGCATAGGAGAGCCCCTACAGGATGAGTCACCTCCTGCCCAGTGCTGCTAGTGCCCCCACTGAGAAACACTGCAATTCTAGCCCAAAGAGATTACTTTTGGACATGTCCCTTATTTTCCCACCTCTGTGCCTTCCCTCATGTTACTATTCCATCCAGATTGTCTTTTCTCTAAATTCACAGGACCTGTACTTGCCTTAAGATTGCAGCTCAAATGCAAATTCTTTGACCCCTGCTTGATCTGTCCTTGCTTAGATCCTCAACTACTGCCAGAAATAATTTCTTATCTGTGCATTCTTAGAAGGTTTTTCTTTTCTTAAAGGACTCATCACATTTGATGTCTATTATATTTTAAATTTGTATTCTTGCTTGATTTCTTCATCTAGATGTTAAGCTTCCTCAGGGCAAGAATGCTGCTTGTCAAGTTGGTGTCAATAAATATTGGTTGAAATTATGAGTCTGTTTTAAGGAATATTGCATTGAAATTGCCTAAATTCTCAGAAAAAAATGTTACTTTCTAATATGACTGATATTTATATGTGGTATTTAAGATATAGCATTATTTTTAATAAGAAATGTCTACAATAAGAAGCAAATTAGTGCAACCTATTTTTCTAGAACCACAGAAAGCAAGGTTTCAATATTAAATTTATAATAGCTATAAATTTTTGAACACCCAGTAGGTTCAAGTTCCATGATAGCCTGTAAAAGCCTTGAAGTTCGGGAATCATGTTGATATATCTCTTGTATCCGGCAAAAGTTCTGGCACATGGAAAGCCCTTAATGAATATTTGTATCACAAATGAAAAAATGAATGAATATATTAGGCATTTTATATGTTTTTTCTCCAATCCATATAAATGTTTAAAATATTGCAGATGAAGAAACAAAGTGTGTCCTATATCACATAGCTGGTAGTTGGTGACAAAGCAAGGATTTTAAATTTGATCTTGTTCTCATGTTCTTTCCATCAAATTGCACAGTTGATCTAATTCCAAGTTCCACATTCTAAACTCCTGAGCAACATACCTGAGCACTGTGTCCTACCTGCTTAATTGTCTCTAAGGTCTCTGGATTAATCTTTGTAATAAAGTTGGTCTCTGTGCAGGCATAGTAATCTTCTCCCACTGGGTAGACGTTTACAAGGGCATTGTCGGTAACCTCCACTCCTCTAAAGTAGGAAAAAAACCTGCAGAAACAAATGAATTATTCAGTTCAACAACTTTCAAGTCATAAGAGAAAAAGGGCTGATGTAAAATGTCTTTAATAACATGCAGTTTCAGAGACCTGGAGAATATATTCTTGCAGGGGTCAGGGAAAGCACAGGTGCCAAATTCTGTTATGACGATCCTTTTCTCAGTCATTGCACGCACGTAGGCATCAGTGCGGATGAACCTGGAGAACATGGAGACAAGGAGAGGATCAACGCAGTCCAAGTGCMACTTAGAATGGTCATTCAGTGTGCCTTCATCAATTCAGAATGGTAAAGCCATCACATGAAGAATGAAGAGTATTGTCAGTTCTCCCTCTTGGAGTGACCGCAGGGAAAGAGATAATATCATGCTCTGAGGCTCAATTTAGTCTTTTAAACTTTACAGTGACAGATGAGGAAATTGAGGTTCAGAGAAGTTAAGTGATTGGCATATGTGACCTAGCTGGGTTACAACTCTAGTTGATCAGAGTTGGACAAAGTGGGCTTTCCATCTCACATCCCTTGACCCTATAGGAAGTTCACATAGTACTTCTGGCTTCCTGTAGCTTGTAACCTATCAACRGACCTATCCTTCCTGTGTTTTTATTCAATTTTAGAATTTATTTTGTGGTACTTTTGAAAGTAGGTATTCTTGAATTCAATGAGCAGGCGGATCTGCTGAACCATATCCAAGGCTAGCTGCAAGGGTTGCCTAGGATTTCTCATATGAAGAGCCAATTAAAATCTGATTTTTGCACTTTTRTAAAGAGGAATGAGGTCTTTAGAGGGCATATGAAAGCTTTATTTCAACTCCAGAATTTGCTCTCATGGCTAAAGTTTTGCTTGATGTAAACTGTTTCTTTTCTAATACTGTCCAAGGTATCCTGACTAATTCAAATCTCCAGTTACGCTTCCTTTTGATGTTTCTTCAAAATGCCTGAAATCTGTGGTGATCCATAAAGTCACTAAGAGGCCTGAATAATTAAACAGGACAAGGTGTTTCTTGTTGTGCCAGGGGGACTTGCTGGAATGCTGGCTTAGACTTTCAAGCCTTTTAGCAATAACTTCATGTTTTTAAAAAACTACTCTTTCTGGGCCCCTGATGAAATATTTGGTCCTTCCCTCCTTTGTGTCACTCTAGTACTTTCTGATTATAACAGGAAAGGAATCAACATAACTAATGGCCCAATAATAATAATAATAACCATCACAGTGACTTTTGTGTTGACTCTGTGCTTCCTAGGAAATTGAGTGGGGGGGGGTCACAGAGGACTCCTTTAATCCTTGTAATGAACCTGTCAAGTAGATGGTATTATTTTCCTCATTTTATAAATGAAAAAACCGAGAATTAGGGTCAACATCTTGCTAGAGGTCACCTATCAAGGCAAGTGGTGCCTGGTAGGTGTAGGACTTGAAGGCAGGTGTGTCCCAACCCAGACCTCTAGTTCCTAACTTCTTCATTATCTCATGATAGTCCCAGGTGTCTCTGTAGACACCTGATCTAGGTAGATTCTGAGAAGTAAGTGGGTATAGAGGTCCCCTACTGGTTCAGAAGGTTAAAAGGCACGTAACTGAGGTCCCACTGCTAGGAAAAGGCTGGGACCCTGTTCTCTCTTACCTTCTGTGGTATGTGACATGTCCTTCTTTAAAGTCAAACTTGTGAAGGAGGGCTTGCCCGTCAAACAGGTGGTAAAATGGCTCAGATCCAACTTCAAAGAGTCCTGGCCCACATCGAAGGAGACTGCCAGTGAGCCAGACAGGGATCCTGCCTGTAATGAAGTGAAACATAGAACATGGCTTCCTGTTCCTGCCCTGGGGCTGGATTTGACCCTTCTAAGTTGGAGTAATGGCACTAGCAGCCTGATTGGGCAGCCTCTGCTGGACAAAGTTGGCAGTGACTTTCCCTCCTAGCCCTCATGCCAGATAACACTTAGAAGGTGTCTGCTGACTGGAATCTCCCTTTTGCTAGGAGACATGGTGGTGGAAAACTTGTCGATGCCTCAGAGTTAGGAGAAGAGGCTAGAAGGAGTGAAGGGAAAGCATCTTGAGGTGAATGGGATTCTCCACTTAAAAAACTTTCCCAGGTACCAGTCTGTTTACTTTTCTGCCCTCTTACTTTTAACACAAATTTCTTAATGCATGGGGGCAGATTAAAGGGTAACAGAATGGATTAGGAATTGAGATCAGGTCATTAAGAAAGGTGTGCGTACAGAAGAAACATCTAAATGAAACAATAGGGATACTGTTTTTTTGTTTGTTTATTTGTTTTAATGTAGGATTCCATCCTGTTGAGGGTATGAACTGCTGTCCAGATGAAAGTTGACCTGCTGTGGCAGAAATTGCATAGGGCTGAGTGTCAGGACCTGGATTTTGGTGCAGGATGTGCTGCATGCCTTCACTGGGCCTCAGTTTCCTTTTCTGCAAAATGAAGGGTTTCCATAATAGCCCTTAAGGACTTTCTGCTTGCACAGTGAGGTTTATGTCCTGTTACCCTTTTAAAAGTACAGTGTTTGCTCAGTTTTCACTAGAATTTTTTTTTAAACAAATGGATTATTCCCTATATATCAGTCTCAGCAGTTTACCTGATATGGGATAAAAACTTGAAAAGAAGGCATGTATTACCTAAAAGCATAATACTAAGTTTTTATTACTAATGCCTAGATCGTTAGCATCAGAATCATGTGGAGAAAGATCATTTGCCTCATCCGTTCTAAAGAGGAGGAAAGAGCTTTGCCCAGGCATTGACCCTTCCTGTAAAATACTGAGCAAGGAGACTATATGGATCACATGGAGTCTTTCGACAAAGATGGCGATAGTGATAATAACTACCACCTATTGGTCACTTTGTATCCGATTTTGGGTTAGTCATTCTATTTATATTACCTCATTTAGTTACAACATCCCCATGAAGGAATTTTTGGATTTTGGTAGGTGAGGGAATTGAGGTTCAGAAGTTTTAGGTAATTTTTTTAGGATTTTCAGATGGCGAAATAATAGAGCTGTGACTATACCTATACCTGCCTGTCCCCAAACCAACCAAATGGGCATGAAACCCACTATCCTTTAATGTAATATTCCCAGATATTTGTCACGAGGCCCTCACTCACACAAACCCTCCAGCAAGAGACTTTATTTATGGGGATTACTATGTGCCAGGCACTGAGATGGGCTGTGTCAACTTGAAGATGAGATAGGTGTAGTCCAGGTTCTCAAGGAATTCCAGTTAGGTAGTACTTCTCTATATCAGAGAAGTAAAGTAAGGGCAAATGAGAGGAAATGTGTTCTTGGGCAAAAAAACAAAACAAAACAAAACAAAACAAAACAAAACAAAACACCCTAAACCTCCAGCTTTCCTTTCCTGTAGCCCAGAGAGGAAGCCAGTTCTGACAGTGCCAATGAATAGGAAGCCAGAGAAGAGACACCTCACAGCAAACACGATGGCTTCACAGTAGTTACCAACCTGTCACGTGAGCTGTGAGTGGTGAGGACAGTTCACAGTAGTTACCAACCTGTCACGTGAGCTGTGAGTGGTGAGGACAGTTCCTCCACAGTTTCAAATAGCTTCTTGTAGCCACCAGCCGGGTGTTCCACTCTGAAATGGTAGAACAATGAGGAAGAAGCTCATATTGATACTTCAAGAAGAGAGTACAGGGAGACAGAGGCAGCACTCCAAGAGAGAAGGCGCCTCAGCTCCATGCCAATGTGCTACTGCCAATCTGGCAAGGAGCACTTGGGGCTTGTGGAGAGAGAGACATACTCAGGGAGAGAAGGGGGGCCCTGCTCAGTGCTCCTCCTTTCAAGTCAGTTGGTCACAGGGGACTCAATTCTGTCATCTGCAGTTTTCCTGTATTTCTGAAGACAAATCAACAAATCTGCTCTATCACTTATCTTCCTGAACTTTGATCCTATACAAAACCTTTCTTAAGAATTGCCCTGCCTTAAATATCAAGAATACAAGTAACAATAAATGTTCGTGAGTATGTGGGAAAATTACATTCATACATTGCTGGTAGGAATGCAAATTGGTGCAACCTTTCTGGAAAGGCGTATAGAAATTCCTCAAAAAACCTGTAGGAATGAAACCACTATTTTACCCAGCTATCGCACTGTGTACATACCCAAAGGATTTAAAATCAGTATACTAGAGTGACACAGCTACATCAATGTTTATAGCAGCTCAATCTACAATAGCCAAGCTAATGAACCAACCTATGGGCCCTTCAACAGATAAATTGGATAGAGAAAATGTGGTATATATACACAATATTCCATATTACTCAGCCATAAGGAAGAATTAAATTATGACATTTGCCAGTAAATAGATAGATCTGGAGACTATAAGGCTATGTGAAATAAGCCAGTCCCCAAAAGCCAAGTCAAATGTTTTCTCTGATATGTGGAAGCTAACTCACAATGGGTTGGGGAAGGAAAAGAACAGAAATTCGGTAGATTAGATAGACAAAGGGGAATGGAGGGAAGGAAGGGAGTATAGGAAAAGAAAAGATAGTGAAATGAATCTGACATAATTTTTCTATGTATGCATGAATACACCACCATCATGTTTATCTACAAGAATGGGGTCCTAATTAGAATAAGATATATTCCATGCCTTTATAATTACATCAAAATTGATTATACTGTATAACTAATTGATTATATGTATAACTAAAAAGAATCAAAAAAAAAAAAAAAAGAAAAGAATTACCCTGCCCTATTGACACTCTCTGCTGAATGCATCATTGACTTTCTGGCCTCATGGGGAGACTCGTTCCTCTGGCTCCTACAGATTGGGAGACAACAGCATTTAAGGTCAGATACCTCATCCTCTTTCCTTTATCCATATTATACTATCATTTCTTCTCATCTTCTAATTCTTTACCAAACCTTGAGAACTATAGTATTTTTCTAGAACTAGTCAGATCAAATGATTCTGTATTTTTGCTTAATTCCTACAGCCTGTGTTTGCCTCCATGTTATGATTTCTTGGAGTGGGAGCTCTCATCAGACTTCCTAATTAGAACCACTTTTTTAAATAAGCATTTACTTTGTACCACATATCATAAGAAGAACTTTGTATGGTCCTAGCTCATTCATAACACAATGAGGTAAGTATTATTGTTATACTCATTTTACATATCGAAAACCTTTAATAAGTTAAGTAGTTTAGACTTTAAAATGTTAAGTGATTTGCTCACAGACACACAGCTAGTAAATGACTCTGAAAGAAGTGGAACCCAAGTCTGCCTGAAATCCTCATGCTTATAGTCTGCCACACAAACCTCACCAAAATTCTGTATATTTACTTTGATGCATGGAGAAATTCCTGCATCATGACCCAAGGGTTTTCTTTACACAGGTCACTAACCAGTGTCGCCTTGTTACAAGCTCTTCATCACCATATAATGCCATTGCTAAGGTATTAAAAAAAAAAAACTCCCAAGATACTTACTGGATAGACATTTTCTCCCAGTGCAGGATCAAGAATTCTGGCACCGACTGAGGAATGAGGGAGCAAGTCCTCAGCCAGGGGCTTTTGTATGCCTCTAAATCCCCCTAAAAGGAGTTATGGCTTTGGGAACCCTTCTCCGCCCCTCCGCTGAAGGAGGGGGAACAGAAGTGGCTTTCAGTGCTCAGATCCTCCTGATGCCTGAGCATTATTTGGGCTTGCTGTTCCCATAACAGTTTCTTGGCTGTTTTCCAGAGTCCTCGATCCTTCCCAAGGAGAATGAGAAGTGGATTGGAAAGAAAGGAACTGTGTGGGAGTGGCCAGCATGGGGCCTGAGCTGATCTGAGTCACCCCACTGGAACCTGGCACCCATCTCTGATGCCCACACCCTCTACCACTTCTGTGCCTTCATCTTTATCTCCTTCATTTATTTATTCACTCATTTATTTAAAAAATCCATTACATGTCATCTGCAGACTGGATGGATATTGGTWCTGTCCCTCTCTCCATAGATCTGAAAACTCTGTTAGCGTAACAGGGAACTAATAAACCAGTTAATAAAGTTTGGGTAGTACTAGGAGTGGAGAAGTATGGAATGTTATGGAAGCACATTGTAGCAACTCGAACCCTCTCTGGCAACTTTATTGGTACCTTTCAGTGCTTAAAATTTTTCTATTGAGGCTGAGGACTCTGCCTGTATCCTTTCACTGAGGATAAAATTCTTCATGTCCTTACTGAAGTTTGCCTGTTCTCCATCCTAGCTTCCTGTCTGTTGGTGTATGTTCTGTGCTCAGAGAGTATATATAGAACTATTTAATTCACATTTCCATTCTCATATTAAGCCCCTGTTATTATTAGGCACAAACATGATGTCCACAGGAGTCTCTGGAAAATTGTCAAGATAAAAACTATCTGCAACTTTAATACTTTTTGARAAATGAATGATTTTACATTTAATAAATGGTTATGACTACCAACACTACAGCTGTTCTCCAGCAAAATGGTATAACAATTAATCTGAGCCATCCCCAAGTTAGATAACAGGATCTTGGTTTCTCAGCTTGCCTACAGCCAGGGCATGGTCCTGGCAACTTGGCCCCACCCATCTGAGGCAGGGGGAGAGGTGTCAGTGTCAGCACCCAGCATACAGCTTCAGTGGTACTTCTGGTCATCCATGAAGTCCAGGTGTCTGCACTGAAACCACTCCATAGTGAAACCTATGGCATTAACACTGGAGAGGTAGCTTCCAAACTCCTTTATTCAGCACACAGATGTGCTGTCAGCTGCCTGATATTTAAAGTATTTCTGCACTGCTTAAATAATTGGATTTAGTTTCATTGTTGTCAGCTAGAGACCCAAGCTCTAAAAAGTGATGATAGCTTAGGAAGATCTGGTATCACACAGGAAAAATATCTATTTTGGTATTAGAAAGTCCCAGAAAAAGAGTAAGTATCTAAACTGAGATAGGGAGAATATATAAAAGTTGGCTAGCCAAAGGGCGGGTASAAGAGTATTCAGGCACGGCATGCAGAATTTATAAAGGTTTGTAGGTGAATGTGATGCAGGGAAATAGAAATGAAATTGGACTAGTAATAATCATGGATCCRATTTTGTAGAACATTGTACCATATAAAGAAATCAAGACCCATATCATGAGAGGGGGGTGATGACATGTTTCATGCAGAGTGGCATTTTATGCCAGGCATGGTGGCACACACCTGTAATCCCAGTGGCCTGTGGGGCTGAGGCAGGAGGATTGCAAGTTCAAAGCCAGCCTTAGCAATTTAACAGGTGCTAAGCAACCTAGTAAGAACTTGTCTCAAAAAATAAAAAGGGCTGGGGTTGAGTGCCCCTTGGCTCATTCCTGCTACAAAAAAAGTGGTGTTTTATTAAGACCACTTTTATTATCTTGTGGATAATATATGGGAATGGGAGATCTGAGCAAGATTAATTAGGGGGGTCACTTTCAATCAAGGGAGATGGCTGATGTAGGAGGATGCAGGATATAAATAGTCACATTCAAGAGATATTTCAGAGAAGGCCTGCTCAAGCTGTGTGATTAGTGAATGTGTTGGGGGAAATAAAGGACACAAAACAAGGATGGCCCCAGGTTTCTGGCAATTCATCATCAGGATACTGCATGCTGTATGAGTGTGTACGTATGTGTGCACACATACAAGCATGCTGCGTATGTGTGATACTTCAGGGATTCAGAGAAAATGCCTTCTGATTTTGATTTATTTATTAAGGGAAGAGACCACTGGGAGTTGTAATCATATGAGGGCCTCAAAGGGAGGCAGAGTGAGCTGGACTCTGAACAGTAGGCTGGTGTGGAGAGAAGATGGAGAGAATATTGCTGGTGAAGGATGCAGAGTGACAGAAGGCAGAGAAGGGGCATCCTGGAAGGCCATGCACCGAGGAAGGAAGGGAAGCAGGAGAATGAGGGGATCTGATTTATGTTTTGATAACAAATCCCTCACCTCAGCCGATGGGCTTCCTTGCCTCCACCCTTATTATATGTCCAATGGTGTTTAAGTGCTGTGTGAGAGGGATGCTCTTGGGAGTTTCCCGGAAGACTTGCCCCTAATGTGTCCTCAGAACTTCCCCAGCCATTTTATCAGAGACCTTCTTTGAAAAGGAGAATCTGACCTTGTCCCTTCATCACTTAGAACCTTTCAAAAAGTCTTTTTAGGTTACTGGAAGAAGCCCAGGCAATTCAGCACAGCTATGAGATCCTCCACACGCTGGTCCCTGCCTGCTTCTCAGTGACCTCATCTGCCTCTCTCCCTGACCTTTTGTGACCAGCAGTCCCAATCGGTTCACTGAATCTCGCAGATGCTTACTGTTTCATGCCTCCCTTTCTTCACCCAGTMTAGCCCTTAGCTTGCACTTCCCCCCTTTCCCTTGTCTATCTGGCAAATTTCCAGCTTCTGCCATAACCCTGATGAAACACTGCCTTTCTGTGGTGCCTCAGACAGGATGTTATTTTGCTCAGATACTCATATATATAAGTCTATGTTTGTATTGATCACATTGTTATTTCACTTGTTAGCATGTCTATTTTTTTTAGATAGAAAGTTTCTATTTTCTGTTTATTGCACAGAAATGGAATTAATTTACCCTAGCACAGTGATATTTGGTAAAATATTTCAATAGCTGTCAGAATGAAAACTGGCATCCATTCCATGTGCTCCCACAGAGGGAAGGTGACAGACTAGCAAAAACCCCTGTCCTTGCTTCTTCTACACCCTCACATGCAAAGTAATCTTCCCTGCCYCTCTCCTTTCTTCATCATTCCAGAACTCATTCTGCCTTGGCATAACTCAGAAATGTCATGAGGAAGTGGGGAATAGGTACAGCCTTGACCTTTGATTTCCTTCTTTCTCTCTTCTAGAGACATTGGAGTACCCTATGCGTCCCAACCCTTAGTCAGAGAATCCCTATTGGTTTTCATGTGAGCAATAGCCATCAAAATTCCTTGTGGTCTCCGGTTGGGTGTGATATGCTTTGACATCTGATATCTTAAAAAGGTAGAGTGTGGCAGCAGGCTGACCACAACACTTGGGCATCATTATGCTCAAGGAATCAGAATAAGAACCCAAAACTCGTCATTGAACACAATTCGTAGAGGCCACTGAAAGATTGCCTTAACGAATCAAGCAGGCAAGAATAAAAATTCTGTTTATAAATGAGTGCTTAAGGATTTGTTTTGCTTTTCCTGAAGAATTTGAATTATTTTACTTAAAATCGTGATTATACTCTGGTTTTAATTAATCGGCTCTTGATTCACACCCTTGGAAAAGCACAAAAGAGGATTCTGGGTCAGGCCTATTGGATTAGTGATGGCTCCACTATTACAGGCCTATGGAACTTTTGTATGTTCTCAGGTCCTACCAATTGGTGCAAATGCAAAGAGGAATGGGCAGTTGACATATTTTAGACAGGACCTCCCAGCCTCCAATTCTTTGGGCAAGAGAACTGGTTCATTAGATAATAAAACCTCAAATGTGGATTAAAATCACTTAATCTCTCACTGCAGGCATTGTACAAAGCACTATTCTAGTAGCATTAGGCATTCTGGTTGTGCTGATCCAGTTTATGGAATTAGATTGCTTGGTGGGTCCTTCTCAGACAATGGAAGAATAGGTTTCTGTGTTAGTCAGCTTTGCTTCTCTGTGACCAAAATACTTGACAAGAACAACTTAGAGAAGGAAAAGTTTATTTTGATTCACAGTTCCAGAGGATTTAGTCTATGGTCAGCTGGCTCCAAGGGAGTACAGTTTCAGAAGGGTGTGGAAGAAGAAAGTTGCCCACCTTATGGCCACTGGGAAGCTGAGAGAGACAAGGGACCAGGAACAGAAGTAGTCCCAAGGCCATACCCCTAGTGACCTACTTCCTCCTGCCATATCTCATCTGCYTATTGTTTTCACTACTTCCCCATAAGTCCATTCAAATTATTATTTCATCAAATGGTTAATACACTGGTGAGATGACAGTCCTTATGAACCAATCATTTCACCTCTAAACACTGTTGCACTGCTTAACACTTGAGCTTTGTGGGGGGGCATTCCAGATCCAACCATAACAGTTTCCTAATAAAAGAGTTGTTAATATGATTGGCTGAATGTCCTCCATTCCTCTACTTCCCAGTGTATTTAGATCTTTCTTAATGATTGTTTCATCAGGTCAGTGCTTCTGTTTTCTTTGCCACTATAATGTGGAACCTATTACTTACTAAGTAGTTACTCAATATTTTAGGGCATTGTACATGGTGTTTATTTTTTTCTTATTAAATGTTTTTATTAATGGATCATGATTATACATAATAGTGGGATTTATTTTGATATACTCAGACATTCATGGAATATAACTTGCCCCAGGTACCCTACCAATATGCTACATCTCTGGACCCAAAGTTAGATTAAATTAAAATGTCAGCAAGGTTTTAAGTTAAGCCAGTTGGAATTAAACCATAAAGTCATTTACTGAATTAATMTATCAGTACATAAAACTGCAATCAGTTCAATAAACATTTCAGTCAATGACCTGTCATATATTTG